AGCAAGTTCCCGACACACCGAACCACTCATCCGGGGTCCAATTCTAGCCTTAAAACGACTTTTCCCCTTCAACAGTATCATATTCTCTCTCTCCTGCATTTACTTGCCATTTATAAGCTCCAGTGCCTCATCTTTGGTCCGCGTGATCTTTTCCTGCCTCCACGACGAGGGTCTTCTGGACTGGTTGTGTTTCACCAAGAGATGCGAACATCGCACTTTGCTGGGCTCCCCTTGGCCGTTCTTCCCGCTGCCGCTGGGCCGTTCCCACTGGCTGGCATTTGTGATGTGGTTGAAGTAATAAACACGGCCTGCGGACAGACAGAGGGGGCGGGGGTAAAAAAAAAAAACCCCCGACGGACCCCACGAAAAAACTTTACCCCAAGAATCAGCTTTTTGACCCCAAGAAACAGTTTCTGATCCCAAGAAACAGCTTTTTTGACCCCAAGAAACAGCTTTTTTGACCCCAAAGGCACAGAGGACTAGATTTCTGCGAGCGCTTGGCCACATCCACACGATCAGCTCAAACACACCAAGCAGGAAACAAGATTTTACAACTCCACATAATTTCCTACGCAAACGTTTCCGTCGGGAAGCGCCTTCGGTCAAAGCAACAGCCCCGCGCAAAACCAGGCTCCAGCTGCCTTTCCAATTCACCACGCTGGCGCAGATCAGCGACAAAACACCCGCTGCCACGGTCAGAAGCCAGAAACACCCCCAAGACAACACCCTGCCGCTGCCGAGGAGGCGGATAGTGCCGGGGTTCCTGGCCTGGGAATGAGATTGTGTTTTCACCCTGTTTACAAGGGTGAAAGCGTAAAACTTCTCTGTTAAGCACATCCCGCAGCAAACGTGGTGAGGTACTGCTAGCAAAGATCACGTCTTTGTGCCGCACAGACCTTTCTTTCTGAAAATCCTCTTTTTTCCTACCAGAAAAAGACAACCTTCCTCCACAAGATACCCACGGTCTCCGTAGCTAGCAGAAAATGAAGCTCCTAGGAAGTCACCTCTCGACACATTCAGCGTTAGAGCCAGGTAATTCTGCTGCTCAAAGGCCTCTCAGCGCTCAAAGCCACGCGTGCGTTTACCTGCGATAACTCACGGCATCGATCGAGATGATTTCTGCTCGCTTCTAGCGCATCAGTCATCCCAAAGCTCTCCACTGAAGCCAGAAGCAGACTAGACTCGAGGAAACCCAGCCAGCCGCAGAGCTCCCTCCCTCCAGGACACTTGAACCGCGGTGGGTCTAGCAAGGAGGGCTCACGCAGGCTGCTCTTCCCTCTCGGCCTCCCTACATTCACCGTCCCCACCTCGAACAAACGAGCTGAGCAGCCAAGCTGAAGAACGCGACCTCCTAGGAACTGCTTTTGAGCCGCAAAGGACCAAACCCTGCTGAAAGCACCGTCCTGA